CACGTGCCAGACACCTCTCCCTGAGGGTATCTTCTGCTCGACTCCCTCCCTCCCTTCCTTCCGAGGACGCAAAGGGTTTCCAAATCCCAGGGTTCGTTCTCTCGGGTGGTTCTCCTGGCAGCGATGCGGCGGCCAGAATGCATGCGGGTGGTGAGCGAGACAGGGGTGTTTGTACGTGAGAACCTCAGAGAGACATTTTCGTTCTCACTTTGCAGGTGCCTAGTGTATGTCCACCGAGAGGCTGATTTCATCTTCTTTGTGGTTCCAATATTAGCATATCTGGTGGGGGGAAGATCCGCTCAGCCTTGCTAGGATATCTGATATACACTGCCCGGCACCATCTAAAAAGGGGGTGTAAAATAACTTTTCATGACAAAACAAATCATCTGATAACACAAGAGAAGGATTAGACTTTGCTGAAATTCCAGCTGCCTTCCCTCGACGCAGTCCCGCATCTTGGTGCAGATAAAGATTATGGTTGCCAGGGAAACAGACCAGAGAGAGAAAGACAGAAACTTTGTCTCATTTGGTTTCCCCCAGACTCACAAAACAAGACTGGCTGTAAGGAGAGCTGGATGAGATTATAGTAGATTTATAATTTACTTAGTCAAATTGCTTTTAATTCATCTTCAGGCCTCTGTGTACATGTTTTTTCCTCTGGAAGGTAGGTCCTGCACAAGTTGTCCAATGTCTGACAAATAACAGAGCCTTAACATTCATTGTCTGTGATTAAACTCAAATGCAGGACAGATGGCTTGTCTGAGTATGTGTCAGACAGGCAAAGCACTTAAGATTTGTGACAGGCAAGACCAGGAATTAACTGCTAAGTTTTTGCATTTATTCATACATTCATGTGCACCATGAACACAGCTGTAAAACTTATATAAGTGTTCTCACTTTATTCAAAATATTCCTAAACAAAGCAACTGCTCTCCTTTTAGCAAACCAGATGCCCTAATCTCAACCCCATTAACTCAAAATCCATTTTTCTCATATGATATGTATTGTGTACATTTCATTTAGTCCAACATTTGAGATGAAAGCAGCCTTCTCCTGAAAACCCAGCTCACCCAGAGCCCACAGTGTTGTCCCCATTTCATTTTTATGAACCTTTTTAGGGGAAATATTTCATTATTTTATTTGACAAACAAATAATATTTCATTATTTTATTTGTCTGTAGAAATAAACAAAGACCAGACAAATGAGAACAGGCAAAGTCAATAGCAAGAGAGTCAGCCACGGTCACTTGCATTTTGGCAAGGACTCAAAGTCAGGCAGAGGGATGGGAAAGCTCTGTAGCGGAGAAGAGGGAAGGCTCCAGGTGCCCTGGCTGGAGGCTCGTGGCAGGGGGAAGCTGCAGGCAGCTAAGTAGGGCTCCTATGTCACAGCCAGGAGTACAAACTCGGCTTTCTCGGGTGGGTCCTCAGTTGGAAGCAGGGACAAAAATTAGGGAAGGTGTTAGTTACTAACCAAGTCCTGGCTGTTTTGTGCCAATTGTTTTGGGGGGTATTGTTTGGCTTGCTGGACCAGTTGTAGAGACAGTGGCCTGACTTCCTGCAAGTCTGACCTGTAGGTCGCAGGCTGGCTTCCCGGGCTGGTTTCTGCAAGCTGTGGGTCAGAGTTCAATTTTTAGTATGGTCTGGCCATTGTCCGCTTGCATCTTCAGTCTCTTAGCCAGTAGTCATTACACATACAAAAAAGTACACAAAGCGTAAGTGTACAGTTCAACGAACGATTGAATGTAACCACCACTCGGGGGCCCCCATCCAATTTTAAATTCTGCAGAATCTTTGCTTTAGAAACCCGTGGTCAAGGAACATTTTGAGTTGCTGAATAGACTCTTTCCATGAGCTTCTTAAGAAGCCCTCATGTCGGGGGTGGGACTCACCAGCTGCAGGCCCCCTCGAACCTGCTCATGAGGTTGTCTTCCCAGACACGGCGGACAGGCAGCCTGAGCCCCGTGAACTGCCTTCCTCCACACTCCGGGACCTAGTCAGAGAGCACGCCTGGGAATCCAGTTCTGCCACTCCTTTGGGCAAAAATAATCTCTCAAAATCTGTTTCTTCCTCTACAGAATGGAGGTAGTGCCGGCCCTCCTAGGGTTGCTATGAGGATGAAGTGAGGTGATGGGCATCTGAACTTGGAACACAATTCCTTGCACAGAATAGGCATTCAGATTTAGATGTACTGAGTGTACTTCTCCCAGTGATGTTTAAAAATGACAGCTGAAAATTCTTGAGAACCTGCTATGTGCCAGGTACTGAGCTTAGTGCTTCCTCTTAAACGTATACTTTTTTTTTTTTTTAATTGATTTCAGAGAGAAGAAGGGAGAGAGAGAGATAGAAACATCAATGATGAGAGAGGGTCACTGATGGGCTGCCTCCTGCACGCCCCCTGCTGGGGATCAAGCCCACAACCCGGGCATGTGCCCTGACCGGGAATCGAACCGAGATCTCCTGGATCCTAGGTTGATGCTCAACCACTGAGCCACACCGGCTGGGCGTATGATACTATTAAATCTTTATCAATAGAGAATATTAATCATCTTTATTTTACAGATAAAGTAGCTGAGGCTCAGAGATGTTAAGAAACCTCTCTAGCCCAGCCAGTGTGGTTCAGCAGTTGAATCTCCCTCTCTCTCTCTCTCTCCTTTCCTCTCTCTTAAGTCAATAAATATATATTTTTAAAAAACCTCTCTATACTTACCTACATTACTTGTGAGAATTAAATGAGATGATTGTAAAGCATGTCCTTAGTAGGGCTCTTGTTGAAAATGACCCTGTGATTATTCACGGTAACCGACCCTGTGCAGCGGGTGCCCATCCAACCTCTGTTCATCCTTACAAAATCAGTTTCCTGCTAGGAGGCCGTGTGCCCCGTTTTCCTTAGTCTCCCTTATTTCTTTGGGAGTTCATGTGACCTAGTTCTGGCCAATGAGAAATAACTGTAAGTCTCTTAAGTGGGCCTTTTGGAAAAACCATTACTATCCCAAGAAAATGGGCTTCAAGCGACATAAGGCTTTTCCTTTGTCTGTCCGTTTTTGCCGCCCGGGAAGCACAAGGACACCACCAAGTACAGTTTGTGGCCACCCTGCATCCACGAAGACCAAAGGCCCATGTCCAGGAGGGCCAAGTGGAAGGAAGAGCCCAGACCCCCAGTGGCGGCTAGGGGTCCCGCCCCCGCCCTGGACGGTCCGCCTCCGCACGGTTCCCCGCCGTGGATAACCCAGGGCCAGCTTTCTGCTGGCCGCAGCCGAGGGCCATCCAAGCCACAGCCACCGTCTGGGTGATCTGTCTGAATGAAATGAAATTTCCAAGTGAATGGAAATTAAGAATTTGAAATATCTTCTTTCCTTCAATCTGTCTACATGTTTCAACCGAGATAACAAAGAAAAAGACCTCCTGAGAATGAAAGGCTGCTTCCCAATGGTCTCTGCATGAATCCTTCGCAGCTTTTCCTGACCAGCCGTGTCAGATTCCCAGGCGCACTCTCTTCTCTTCCCCATCACATGGTGTCGTATCTAGTGTCACCAACAGGGTCCCCGTGGGTCATCAGCATCTTGAGCCTGGGGTCTGAGGACACTTGCTCCCAAGGCTGGCTCCAGGCCAGCCTCACCGAGCACGGAGCTGAGCGATCCTGTGAAACCCGAGGCATCTGCTCTGGCATCTTGGTCAAAGTCCAAGGGCTGTAATTGCACTCGGCCTACCCGGGAGCTCTCCCAGAGTCCTAATTAGGTAGTGTCTATCTATTTCCTATCCAAAAAAGATCATGCCCAACATTACCCTGCACATTAAACAGCAAGGGTCTGACCCAGGTGATAAAGGAGCATCTCACTGTGACACACAGCGATCCTGAGGTGGGGGCAGAGGCTTCATAGGGCTTTAGGCTGAGCCAGCTGGGACGGTGGCTTTCAACTTGGAGGACGCTGAGTGTACCAGAGGGGTTAGGCTGATGGTTTTGTACAGTTACAGGGAAACAACCTGCCCATATCCCCACTTACTTGAAATGCTTTCTGAGGCAACGTCAGATGAAAAGATCGAGTGAAAACATAACCCACCGGGAAGACCAAAAACTAAATTCCTCTAACATGTTACGCTGTCTTAATATTGCAGGGAACATGACTTTTTATAGTCTAAGCTGGAGTAACCCATATTTTGACTTGCTTAAAGAAATATCCGGAAAGGTGAAAATTCTTAATTACTTCATGTGTAAAATTGCTTTACTAAAAGTACGCAACTCAATGGTGACATAAAGGACACTCAGAACGTATTCGAGATAATCCTCCTTTTGATTAAACTAGAAAAGGCGCACATTTCCAACAGCTAAAATTATGTTGTATTCAAGTAAAGACTCACCACACACAATGAAGAGAAAATCTCTAATAATTTATTTGACCTTCAGTTTCACATTGTGAAAAAAAAAACACAACAGTTTTACAAAACCTCAAAAATGTAGTCATAGGAAACAAGTACATAAGAACATGAACACTTTACTTCTTCAACTTACACAGAGTTTTGTACGTGAACCACATACTCAACAGCCAAGAGAGGGATATTATTCAGCTCTAATCACTCGTATTCAGACAGGTGTCAAGCCCAGAGAAAAGGGGGCCCCACAATTATACCAGAAGTGGAAGGCTGCCCTTTGTCATCCGTTTCCACAGCAACCCATCCACAGAATAAGAAGAACCTTCTCTGTCTCATGCCAAGGTTTTTGTGTGCACTGTGCTGTGAATTGTATTTGCTTCAAAGTGGGGGGCGTCTCACAGGGTGAGAATGGCCGAGGAGCGAGCCCAAATGCCCACATCAATTCAAAGAGCGGGAGAGTCCAGAAAGTTCCCTGCAGGCTGGGGCCCACCCTGACCACGGCTCCCTCTGGCTCACACACAGTAATTAATAGAAGATTCAAGGACGGACCACAACTCCGAAACAGCTGTAGGAAATCCACCCTGCTCTCAGAAGCCGCGCAGCGGCGCACACATCTCGGCCCATTTGCATCATAAGCTACGGAGCTGTAGCTGCTACAATGTAACGACACCCGGCTACGCTGCCATTGTGCAAGGAGACGTTGGCATCGCTTAGAGCACATGGAGGAGCGAAAGACTGACTGCTGGCAAGGACTGGGATGCTTTTATTCCAACGGCTCGTTAATTTTGGTCCACCTATAGCCCACGTATTCATGCCATGGACAGAGATGTACAATTAGTCTAAAGTTTTCAGATGCAGAGAAATGTTAAGGATTTATCTGTCATTAGACACGGCAAGCACACTCACAATGTAAAAGGTTGTTATCAGTCTTTAACCTTATTTTCTAAAGTACAGTAACGTGAGAAACATCAATGAACGTAGTGCGAGAGTTATAAACTCTGGTCTTCCCCAGGCACCTGTGAGGAAGCACCTAGTGGAGTCTAATACTAACACCTATCACAGCACGTGTTTAGTAAACAAGCCTGCAAACTAGCAAAGAATGTATTCACAACCGATCCCCAGCTACCCCAGAAAACCCCAACGGTGGCCACTGCTCACAATTCTTTGGTGTTTCGTGACCAAATGTGACATTTCTGTGCACCAAAGAGTTCTTTTAGAGACTTACCTGCAGGTAAGCACTAAGGTATGCATTGTACCAAGGTTACTATTGTCTTGGAGAACCTGCCACACTTGCTAAATTGTACAGCAACGGTAACAATGAATCCAGGTCAAGCAAATTGGGTAACTGAATTAATTTATGTCTGTGACAATTCAGTTTTTTATCCCCAGTTAGTTGTGGTTATGGCAAAGCATTCTCACAGGGTAATAAATAAATAAATATATAAACTTTGGACTATGCCTTTACCTGTGCCCTATATACAGAACTATTCCATAGAATTTTCCAGGATTTCAGGATATTACACAAAGAAAAAAAAAACTGCAAAGCAATTTGGTCCTTTCCAAATTTCAGTAGCCGAGACTGAAGGAGGTGAATCTGATGGAAGGGGCAGAGCGAAGCCTTCCCTTACGTGACCAGAGCCCATGAAACCCCACTGACAGTCAGTGAGTCTAAGAAACGTGACCTCCATCCATGTTTTCTCTACCTCTAGGTGTAATTTAAGTTTCTGTTTTGTAATACTTCCCTGTCTTGACATTTACAAAATCCCTCCCCTTCCCAACCCACCCTCCAGTTATATTCCAAACTGTAATTCCAAAGTTTTCCTTTTTGTGCAGCAAAGCACATAACAGCCACAAAATTGTGCAAAACATACAACCATTCACACAAGTCCATACACGTGAAGACAACTGTAAGCATTGTTTCAGCATGCAGGCATCAAACAATAAATAGCTAAATCTATAACAAATTTCTTAACAGCCAAGGGAAAGTTTAAAGTCACTTATAAATAGAAAAGATCATCTACCAAACAGCTACCAACAATGTCCCCATTGTTCGGAACCCTTCCCGGGGAGCACAGCCCCTCAGAGACCGGCAGGGCCCAGGGCTCCTCACTCTGCGGCCAGCACCAGCCTCCCTCCTGGCCCCACAGTCGGGCTTTCAATCTCCAAGAGCAGCTGGCGTGGAGGCTTCAAGCTCGCTCCTCAGAGAGGTGACAACCATTTCAAATTTTACACATAAATGGTGGAGCCCATGGAAATCAAATGCTGAATATCGTACAGCAAGGGAAAAGGCCCGGCTTTTCTCTCCCTTTGAGGGGCTGATTAACGCTGACATTAATCCACAATTACAAGACAAGGACTGGATCACAGGTTCATTCATTCATATTTAAACCATGTGCTACTTGCACAGAAAATCCCACCCCTCCCCCACCCCCTTCCTTCATGTCCAGTTAGAGCATTTACAAGGTGCCGCCGATGGTACAATCCAGGTCTTGTAGCAACTTCTTTTCCGTTTTTTTCTTTCTCTTCGTTAAATTTGGCCTCTCAAAAACAGAAATCGTTTCTTGAGCTAAAACAGAGGAAAAAGATTTTTGTTAGTATCCTCAAAATCTAAAAATAAAACTCAGGACAGCACTGGTCAGTATTGCTTCTGAAGGTCTTGATTACAACATGTTCAGTAGGAGCTGTGCAAAGACGTGAGGTGCTGCCTTGAATGCGCACGCACGCACGCACACACACGCATGCATGCAGACGGCTGACCGGACGGGAGCAACGGTGTCCAAAGGAGGATCTTCGCTTCCTTCCTAAACACGTGTGTTCAAATTCAAACCTATACGTCTAGATCTTACTATCAGTTGCCACCTTCTGCTCCCAACATTCGTAATTCCTCTGTGTGGTTAAACAGAGCTACTGGGAAGCAATCTCCGGAGGGTCAGGAAAGATTCCTATGCAAACCTCCACGGCCCGTTTACCGTAACAGGTTCCAAATTCAATTTGTTTACCATATAGGCGGCAGACGTATTAATCCTCTTATTTAAATGCATCTCTGCTATTCATTATGGCAGGAATCAGTCTCGCTTCCTTTCATATGACAACATACCGGGCTCAGTAGCCCAAGGCTGGACTTATTCTCAAAGTTCGTCCGTCCACAGTTGGGAGACGCCGGCTTAGGTACACGGAGCAGCTACCTGCGGGATCTGCCAGTGTCAAGTGTGGATACAAATTCAAGGCGCCATAACCACTCGTCATGGGAGCTGGCATTTCCTCACAGTGCCCACCCCTCCCGCTCGGTTACGTCTAATGCGATATGGGGACGTTTTGCAGATGGCTTGCCTTGCAAACGCTCACCCTCACACTCAGCCCGGGCAGGAACTTGCATCCGGCCGCTGTAGCTATTCACAAAGGGAATTCAGGAGGGGCCACTCGTTCCTGGCCCTGAATTCTCCTCGCTTTTGTGTGTTTAGGAGTCTGATTCATTGCATCAGTGTTTCTTTTGGCAGTTTCATAACAGTGATTCAAGCTTTCAAGGCATTCCTTAGACTACGGTGTCATCCCCTTGGCCCCACCTCCTTAGAACCTATATATCAACATTAGGCCAAAAGAATGTATCTTGTAATAATACAATAAAACTTCAAGATGCTGCACACACGGGGGGGGAGGGGGGAAAAGGACACCAAAAGAAAAGAAAAACTCTAAAAAAGGAAGAAAAATGCAAAGCAAAATCTAAGTTCTGGCCGGCTGGGGCCACACAGCACCATGAAAACGCAGACTAATCAAAAGTAATTTCCCTTTTGTCCCTCCCACCCGTTGACAGAGCGGCAGGAGTCCGTTAGAATCTCCTAGATGGATGAGCTTTAGGACCAGGGCAAACTTTTTGTTAACACTATTAATTCCCTCAGCACCTCCATTTGGAGAGCAAAGAGATGTCCTCTTGGAAGTTTTTGCCGCTTAGGACTGACACCTACACTGCACCGCCTCTCACTCCATCCCGCTTTGGCGTTTTAACAAATATCTGTGTGTAGTCAACTTGGGCAGTTTAAACCAACCCCCCCCCCCCGTGGGAAACCACAAGAGCGGCTTTGATCAGGCCCACCCGCGCCGCCTTTAGAAAGGCGGGCGACCCCGGCCGCGTCGAGTGCGTCGTCACATGCTCGACTCCGGCTGGCAGCACCGAGGGCGGAGAGGATGTGATTTCACCCAGAACCTAACACTTCAGATACCCTCCGTTTCCAAGGCACCGGAAGCGTGTGAAGAGATTCAAATATTCCGGATACGATGAATTCCAGTGTTTGCATACTCTGGGCTGAGAAAAATGAGGTACCGAAAAGGAAATATAAAGATAACGAGAGATGACAGTCAGAGGAACTTCATCCCCCCCACAAAAGCTAATTCCACTGCAGGCTCAGGTCTAAACCAAAGTGAGGAAAGAAGCCCGAGAGCACTGAACACTGAATCTACGCCAGGCGCTGGGCTAGGCATTCTAGCCACTCCCTCCCCTGCCTCCCTATTTATCCATCTACCCAGGTCTGAACTGGGGCAAATCTTAGGGGACGCATAATGCAAACACCACTCATTTGACAAAGGAGCGAAATCCAGAAAGGTCCAGACTCCAGCTTAGAACCAGAACCAGAATGCACGTGGTCTCTCTTTCGGCCTTAACGTCCTTACCTTGCTCCAAGGAGGCCAACCATTCCACCAGTTGCCATTCTGAAGTACCGCCACCACTGGCAATTTTATGGCTCCCCTTATTATTATGGGCAAATAGAGTCGGTTCTGGACTAACACCCAACTCAGTGTGCTGTTAATTGATGCTTTACCCTAGGAGGTTCTTTAAAGCAGCTTTGGAGGTGAGTCACGCATTCATATCACAAAAGAAATAACCACGTTCAGAGCACTTGTTTACTCAGGATTACTGAGATGCCAGCAAGGCTGCAAAAACCAGTTTGGTGTGGACGCCGTGAGCCAAGCTGCTCCCCAGAGGAGGCTTCTGACTGCTCCTGCGTTTCATTCCGAGGAAACATTACATTGCTAAGAACTCTACTAACTGGAATAGGCTGGAGGAGAAACTGCAGAAATGAAACAGGTAGAAGGATTAAGGGTGAGAGCGAGGCCAGTTTTCGTGGTGTTTTTAAATGAGCTGTGAGAGAGGAGGGAAGAAAAGACAGGTGAGTCAGAGCCCCCTCGACTCAGCTTGCAACGACCCCTAAGCTCCCATTTTCTCTTTGTAAGTTCCCTTCAAAGGTCTGACGCATACTACGGAAAACAGGGCCCAGAGTTTCCAAGTAAGAAGTTGGTTTTCGTTGTAGTTCCTCCAAAGCAGAGTTTTAATTTTATTCTGCTATTAGTAACGGAATAAGCCCCCGAGTCACCCAAACCAATCAACAGGCTGTGTGCTCTGTGCGGCCTCTGGACAGTGCTGAAGTGACTCCCGGGCCCGGGCCTAGGAATGCCTAACGGCGGCCGAGCGGACACTGAGCTGTGGAGGCCTATTAATTATTTGAGCCAAGAGTATAATATACTCTTAAGTACACAAGACAACCATTATGTGCTCAGATATATGACACAGAAACACAAGTTTTGTTAGGCCCGACAATAGGGCCGGCCTGTCTGATTAACTCTGAAAGGCTGCTGTAAGAGCAGCTTAGATGGCTCAGCGTATCCACGCATCAGACAAATGTATGCAATGCAGGTGCGGCCTTTTACAAGGGCCTTTTAAATTTCCCTCCAAAGTTAATACGTTTGAGAAAAAATTAAATAAGCTAATAAATAATCCTGGAGAGAATAATCTAAGAATAAATTTAAGCATTCAATTTTTTAAAAACCATACTTCATTCCAGGAAGGGTTTGAGGAAGCTAAATGTGAATATTAACAAATATCTTCACACCAATATGAAGCTCAAGTTCATTAAGCGGCAGTTCAGCACAACGCTCGAGTGCCTGGAGCCCGGCTGCCTGGGTGGATTTCTTGACCAATTCTTGCGCCTACTGCTAAACTCTATGACCTTGGGCAACTTCACCTCTGTGTGCATGAGGTGTTTTCATCCATGAAGGGCTCTGGTAACAGCGTCTCACAAGGCTGTTGTGAAGATTCAGTGAAGTGATCCATGCGAACACACAGCCCAGCTCCAGACACACAGCGAGGGCTCGCTAACTACCAGTTGGCATTATTAACATAGGTCAGGGTTTCTCAGCCTGGGGTACATTAGAATCACCAGAAAACTTTCTAAAAATGCTGATTCTGGGCCCCACAAGACCAAATGAAACCAAGTGTCTGGGCTGGGTAGTTTTTGCAAAGCTCTTTGGGAGATTCTGAGGCTCAGTAAAGACCGAGAACCACTGGTTTACCGTGTTATAGTGGGGGGCAGGGGGGAGCTGTGGTCAATACAACTGTTTAAGTGCTGGGATACAAGTTCTTTCATTTTTACAGTTTTTGTAGTAGTTCTACGGGATAGGCTATATGGACCACACCTCACGCCACACGCACACTTACACGGCTAGCTTAATTACACGCATACTGACAGTTAGCCCGACTCCTTACCTCCTGCCCACCTTTCTAGAGGATGGACGGCGTTTAAGAAGGCAGATGCTTCCAGGTGCTGACAAACGCAGTCGGTATCAGCGAGTACGGGACCGTGGTTATGCTGTTCCACACATCCAACGTCGGGTCGTAGCAGTCCAGGGTCTTGCACCGCTGAATGCCGAAGTACCCCCCCACCACGTAGAGCTTGTTTCCGGAGGCCACCGCGTGGCAGCTCATGCGCTTCGCCGTCACGTCCCCCACCTTGGTCCACTGGTAAGTCTCGCTGTTGAATTTATAAGCAGAGCAGGCGGAGAACTCTGTATCCCCCCCCATAATGAAAATCTGGTTGCCCAGCACGGCTGCGGCTGTGTAACGCCAGGGCTGGGGACAGGTGGCCGGAACCGTCCACCTGTTTTCACACTGATCGTAACACTGAACCTTGGGGAGCTTGTCGTGACTGACGCTGGTACCCCCGAAGGCGAACAGCTTGAGTTTGGCGCTCACTACGGCCGCATTGCTAACGCCTTCCCGCAGCGGGGCCACCATGGTCCACTTGTTGGTTGCGGGGTCATAATGTTCTACCTGCTTTAGAGAGACCGAGGGGGAGGCTGGCAGGCAGCCAGTGGCGGCCGTGTGGCCCCCGACCACATACAGGCAGTGCTTCAGCTCCGCAGAGCCGTGGCCGAACCTGGCCACCAGCATGGGGGCGGCCTTGGACCACTCCTCGTGCAGGGTGTCGTAAACCCAGACGTCTTTCGAGACGCCATTCTCGGAGCCCCGGCCCCCAGTAATGTACACCTTGCAGCCAATGGCGCACGCACTGAACTCTTTTCTTGGGCTGGGGATGTCGGCCTTCGGGATGATTTCTTTGGCCTTCTGGTCGACCAGGTACAGCTTGTCACACATGAAAGTCTGCCCCCCCAGGAGGAAGAGGGCGTGGCCGGTTTTGCGAGGCCGGGCACAGAGGCTGGTGACCACGCCGTCATTCTGCAGGATCTTCAGCTTGCACCTGATGGCCTCCTCCACGATCTCCTTGCTCTTCCTCTGCTTGGTGATGAGCTCCTCCGTGGCCACGTTCTCCATGAGGTAGATGGCCGGCAGGAGGGCCAGCCTCACCGTCTGCAGCAGCTCCGGGAGGTGGCAGTGGCGCTTCTTCAGGTCGTAGCTGATCCAGCTGATCGCAGACTCGTACACGAGCCTCTCGTCTTCTGTCTCCAGCTCCTCGCTGGACAGCAGCTGCACGACCGTGTCCTGGGGCAGCTGCAGGAAGTCCTCGTTCTTGCGGATGGTCTGGAAGTTGCTGAGGCACATCCTCCAGGCGAGCTCGTGCAGCCTGGCGCACTGGTGCGCGTCGGACAGCAGCAGCATGCCCAGGCAGTTGCTGGGGTGCAGGTTCCTCTCCAGGAACTCCGCGCAGGCGTCCCGGATGTCCTGGAACTCCAGCATGTCGCCGGCCTCCAGGAGCGACTCCGCGTTCTCTTCGTTGATGACGACCCGGGAGGAGTAGGCGTAGTCCAGCAGCAGCTCCAGGACCTCGGGGTGGATGGAGCTGTCGAAGTTGACCTCGCTGTCCTGGCTCTCCTTCAGGCCGCCGCTGAACATGGCCTCGAAGTAGCGGCTGCAGGCGGCCAGCACGGCCCGGTGGCAGGGGAAGGTCCTGTCCCCCGCGTGCAGGAGCACGTCGGTGAAGAGGCGCTGCTGGCGCAGGAGGTTCAGGTGCGTGAGGACGCTGTCGGCGTAGGAGGACTTATGGAACAGGTAGATGTTAATGGAGCCGCTGCTGGCCCGGGACTTGCGGTTCTCGTGCACGCTGACGGACATTTTGTTTCCGCTCCTGAAACAACAACACGAAACCGCTGAGCGGGTGCTCGAAACAGCAGAACAAGCAGCGATCCCCCAGGACAGGAACCCGAACGCCCTGCCCTCAGCCCTGCTGCCCACGGCCCCGCACAGCCGATGGCCGCTCCCGCACAGAGCCAGCACCCGTCCGCAAGGACAGCCGTTCACGGTCAGGCTGTGCTCTGCACCGTCTAAAAGAAATCACTGCTCGAAAGCTGGCTCATCTTGGAAAACCTGACTGCCGACTTTCAGGATATCGAAGCCCGGGAGAATGGTACGTCAGCACAAGCCAGGAGGAGCGAGGTCTCGTGCTCACAGCTCCCTGTCCCTGTCCAGCTGACTCACCGCAGGCCACTCAAAATGCCAGGCCCCCAGCCCTCATAACGCCGGGACAGGCACAGCTAGAATGCCCTATGCAACATAAAGCCATGCGTAAAACAAACACCTACTAATTAATTCCATTAAGAATTCCTTTGGTAAGTTCCGGTCTCCCTGCAATATACAGTAAGTGGGAAATGTAATATTAAAATGACAGGCTTAGGCAACTTCTCCAACGATAGGACCCTTATTTAAATGTTACAAATCATTCCTAACCAGACAGCTCTGCCACTACAGAGTCCTAAAAGCGGCCCAATACAAACATTACCATATACTGATCAGCAGGCTTTGGTGAAAACACTGAATAGATTCTGACCACAATCACCACCCATCGTTCTTGCTCTGGACAGCTTCCAAAATGAGGATTTGGGCACATAAAAGGAAGAATATTTTGAGTGGCATACACATGCGTGCTGTTTTTCTGTTCTTCCTTCTTTATATCAATTCTTAGGAAACCAGTTGCAAGAACAAAGGATCTATCTTGCTCCTCTCTTTTGATTAGATGGTGCATCACCAAGACCGTTCTTGTGTACCTGCTAGTGCTGCCATCTGCATATAGGGAGTTCAAAATGCAAACACTGCTTTATCTAAATAAAAAAACATGCACACGTATGTATATGTATATATGCATGTGTGTGTATTTTGCCAACCATTGTTAATTTTGGGCTACCCTAGAATGTATTTGCTGACTAAAGTTTTTTTTTCCCTCAGTGTCTAAATTGAAATTATAGCAGAATCTAATGCTATCTTTGGCTTTCCTCGGTAAGTAAATTGTAGGCTCAAGGTATAGGAAATCCCTATCACCTATCTTCAAAAATGGAACCACATCCTTTAAAACACACACATACAAACCCTACCTCTCTTTTACTTCAAAGGAGTAAAGGCTTCAAGCACCTGCCTGTCAAAAGATTCCTAAAGAAGTTGTTTATCCCAGGAGAGTAAACTAGGTGGTTACAGTATCTATTCGAACTCAGAACAGCCAGTCCTTATAGTACAGCTGAAACCCATGGCCTGTTTGTTTCCTTCAACCATTCAGATATTTGTTTTTAATGTATCCCAGGAATTACCAATAAATGCAAATGCGTAACTTACCACAGATTCATGGGCTAGACACTACACTGCACTTCCCTGACCAGCTGTGTCACAGAAAACAAAAGCAGGTGGCCTTAACACATAAGCCACATACCATTAGGTGATGTAACTTGTTTTCCTTTATTTTGGAATGTAACTTTTCCTTGTGCGTAAACACAGCTCAGTGGAAGAAAATAAGCAACAAAGTCCCAGGCTCTGGTGTTACAAAGACTCGACAAACACCCATTAGTCTCCTGGATATAGCAAATGGTAAAAGAGCCAAGCTTCACCCCCACCTCAAGCCAAGCCTCTACAGGTACAGTCCTTTTTTTCAACCAGTGCTCAATGCTGCAGAGAACAAGGGGGAGGATCCTGGTGAATGCACCAGGTTTCCCAAGTGTTAAAACATCTAGCAGCATCACTGATGCTCTATCACTGTAGTGGTCATTTGAACTAGTACATTCCTTCCTTCTGAAGCACTTTGAGAAAGATTTTAAGCCTGAACCTCAAAAGACGGTATAAATACTTACAAAAATTCCAAATGAGTAAGGAGCTACACCTTTTTTTTTTTTTTTAAGCTAATGCTTCCAAAGCAACCTCAAAAGCTAAGAACAAATGTAGCTCTGGCTGAAGAATGGGGGACCTACACAAACAAGGTGCACAGGCACCATAAGCACATGGGGCAGGAACCTCAGGAGCCAGAACACATTTCCCTGAGCATTAGATACCCGATGATGTCCAACACGGCTCACAACCTAAGAAGACCTTAGGATCTGCATCTCTATGCATCCTGTGTTGACGCACCTGTATTTTCCAGGTTGACCCATAAAGCCAGAAGGAAGAACCTAACCTGTCATCTTGGATAACATCCAGATGGAGAAGCATGCCACTGTCAAAACCCAACATTCTTGCCGCAATGTTTGATTAAAATAAAAGGTACACTTGAAGACCCATGGGAAAAGTTACTTTCTGGTTTAAAATTAGCAAACATCCAAATATCAGCAGAAATCATTTATACAGTCACTAAGCACACCTTCAACATAAATCATCCTTCTGGCACTTTCTAAGCCCCCAGAGAAATATCTGCATGCCAAGTAAGTGTCCAAAAAATGCACACATATACTTAACCTGCACCTACAAAGAAGATGAGAAAAGGGCTGCTATTACCCTTAACATCAAAAGGGCCTCTAGTTACAGTAACTTCAGCTCACTTAGAGCTCCTTACCCAAGCTCTCTGCCTTCAATTCTGAGTCCCTGTCACATCTCTTTAGGTTTTGGACCTGATTTCAATGCAATCAGAGGAGAAACTAGGCAGACTGGGGGGAGGGGGGGGCCGGGGGGCACTTACGTTATTGGTAACAATGAAACATTATAAAAAGCTCCTGTTAACAGGAAAAGCATTTCACCATGCTGTCCCCTAAAACACTTGACTTGCAACGCTCTTTAACACGCCACCGTTCCTTTCAGGGAGACACCAAATTACAAGCCCGACAAGTTCAATGGTTCACCTCCGCCCCGCCCACCAAGTCCTGTCCTTCGAAACTAATAATGTTACCCTAAAGGCCACATACTGTACTTACATGAGAAGAAACTAATTTTTGAGACAAAAAAAAACACCACCACAACAGTTTTCATTCATTTCCTACAGACATTTCGCAAGAGTGGCCGTGTCCTCACGAGGGATTTCTGCGCGCGGCCCAGCGCTCCTTGTGCCGGTCGGGCGCAACGTGGGCCAGCCATCCGCGCTCTCGGCCCGGCGACTGCGAGGCCCGGGCAGCGGGAAGTCCGCCCCGGGAGCCGCTGCTTTCCGCAGAGGGGGGGCGTCACCGCTCCCTCGCCCCGCTCCTCGGTCCCCCAGCAGCTCCCCGGCGCCCCGCCGCCGAGAGGGGGCCCTTCTGGCGATGCCCGGCCCCCGCTTGCGGTGGGAGGTCATCGGAGAACACAAAGGTCTCCGCCCCAACAACAGCTCCCCATCTCCGCCTAAGTCGGGGCTCCGGATCCGGGGCGCACGCACACCCCTCGCGAGCACACCCCTCGCGAGCACACCCCCGCAGGCCGGGCATGTCCAGAAGCCCGCGGCGCCCGCAACAGGTCCGGGGCAGCGGGGAAAACTTACAGCAGTGGCGAATGGCCTCGGGGCACAACTAGCTGGGTTCCTGCCTCGGTCACCGGGCGGGGAGGCGACAAAGTGGACGTCTCGGCCCCGGGGAGCGAAAGGACTGCCCAGCCGCGCAGAGGACCGCGCCCGAGGCGCTGGCTCGGGCCGGCTACCCTGGCGGCTCGCCTCGGCCTCGCGATG